AATAAAAATCTGTAGCTTAATATAAGTATGTTTTTGAAGTCCTAACTCTCTTTCAGTCACTTATGCCCTCCTCTCCCTGCTGTTAGGTGCTGTCTAGTCAATTCCGACCCATATGGGGTCTCCGAGGAGCGACTGGTGGGCATGAACCACCCACCCTGCAGTTCAAAGGCTTTGCAGTGCGTCACCTCAGCCCATTCAAAGGGCGGACGCTCTCAGAGAGCTAGCAGGGCCACAGGAACCAACATAGTCCATCCCAGGGGGGTCCTCATTGCCAAGTTAGGCATTACTGGCGTGTATATAGGGCAAATTGGGGGGCTCAAGGCACAGGGAGGCAAAGAAAGGCATTTTAGACGTCATCAAAAACAGACCCTATCTGCCTGCAAGCACCAAGCCCATTCCCCACTTCTTCAGCCTAGGCCAGCCCTCTGCCCAGCCTACTAGCCTCAGGCCTGCCCATCAAAGCATCAAGGTTTGGGCCAGCCCAAGCTGAGTAGCAGCTTAACACCAGTAACAAAGCACCCCTGCTGTGGTTTAATCCACTAGACTGCAAAGCCTTTTGAATCCCAGGAACTGTGGTTCTAGCTCAACAGCTGCTATTAGAAACCCTATACTGGGTCAATGTGGGTCATATGCTAAGTTCTGCAGTGGGTGGGTCTGTCCCCCCAGGGTAGGACCCAGGAGCAGGCGGGTGGAAATTCAAAATGCAGTTTGATCCTTCAAAAAAACAAGTTCATAAAGTTGCAGCCTAATGTTTTATGTTTGCCCAAAAGTTATCGGTCTACCAGGTGGGGGCCCCAATTTGTGATACTGCCCCCTACTTTCTCCCGAGCCCACGTACCTGTGCTGCCCTGTCAGGGAAGCGCCGGAAGTCCTAATCTGCCTTCATTTCTTAACAGTAAATTGGTGTCATGAAAGGGGAATAAAAAGAGGTAGTGGTGGTTAACTAGCCTAGAATAAGAGACATTTCAGAGACATCACAGCCAAATATAGTGTAGTAACCTTGATTTAACTGATTATCCTGGTTTGAAAAGCTATAAAAGACATGAGGGGAAAAAGACATTGAGGAAGTTTTAATATGGACTAGATTTTAAATGGTATTAGATAATTAATGCTAATTTTATGAACTGTGATAAGGGTGTTTATAGGAAAATGTCTTTAAAAACTGTGTGATCAAGTATTTAGGAGTAAAGTCTTAGGAAGTTTTTATTGTGAATTGAGTGAAAGTTTACAGGGCAGATCATCAGTTTTACATTCAATAAATCATACACTTTGTTTCATTACAGTGATTATAATCCTCTCCATGTACCATCAGATAACAATATTTTTTTCTATTCATTTTAGCTCTTTTTTAAACACTCAGGCATATATAATTTACAACATCAAAGGACACGTTCTGCAAGTCTGCCTCCTGGCCACCAGTTCTCAGTCCCTCTCTTCCCATGAATCTAGAGTCCTTAGCCGCTCCCTCTCTCCATGTCGTCATCTCTGACTCCATCTGTGGTATCTCTGCTTCTCTGGATAAGGTCTCGCATTCTGCTTGTGCTCTTCTCCCTTGATGGTCCTAGGATTCTCTGTTTCTGGACTGTAAGATTAACTACTCCCCCGTTTTTTATACAAAACTTCAACCTTTACAATTGTGATAGTCTCAAGTAGTCATAACTGTTACTCACTATTGAATTATAAGAATCTTATCCCCATCTCTTTTCACCAGACCTGTCTAGACAAGATGAAAACTATTCAGTGGGGACTCTTATCTTCCCCCAAACACTCTTAAACTAAACTCTCCCTTGAAACCTTGTAAGCCAGTTACTTCATGCCTTTATTGCCCCTTTATTTTAGGTAGCCAGTGTCTAAGTTGCCCTTCCCTATCTTCCCTATGTACAGAGGGGATAGCATTGATACTGTGAAGACTCCTTCCCTCTCTGTAGGTATTTAGAGGTACTACCTCCATGAGTATAGGTCAAGTTCATCAAATTGTAGCAATTTATGCTCATTTCCGTTATCAAAAAGTGTGGGTTTTTTTTTTTTTTTTTCCTCTAATCGAGTTCTGATTATCAAGCCATCGAGACTAGGTCAAATGGGTAGTGTCTGCAAGTTTGGGTGTTCTTATGCATCTCCCCTCACTTCATATCATCTGGATGCTTCACTCTCAGCTCTAGCTCTCTGTGACTATGTCCTTGTCCATGGGCTCAAGTGTCCAGGTCTCACCACACTTTGGGCCAACCAGCCCTTCCTCTTCTCTCTGTCATCTGCAGGTCAATGGGAGTCTATGGACCGTGGTTGAACTCAACCCATTTCTTCATTGTCTAATATATTTTTAAGTGGTTTGGCAAACTATGTATGCGTAAAGCAAATGTTAATTACAGAATCTTGATGTCATGTATATAAGCATTCATTGTACCATTTTTTCTACTTTATGTTTGAAAAGTACTTAATAAAAAATGGTTAGTATTTTTTAAAAAGATACAATAGCCACTGTAGTAAGCCTTCATGACCAAGGCTGATTTTTCTCATAATGCAAGCCAAAGATATAACCCAAAGGCAGGTCATTATAAACAATTTTGTGATGCTCAGAGAAATACACTCTGTGACAGCCAAATGAAGACTGTATTATATATCCATTGTATTCTCTAACTATCTAGTTGTACCGCTGAGGGGAGGGGGGAGCTGGGAGCACAAAGACTATTTTGCTTAAGGTCACACAGAAAGTTGATTTCCCATGTCTTGAACTTGTTTGTAGTGTCCACAGAAAGGCAGAAAGTTGCACAGTATCATTGCCAGGTTTCCTGAGTCTGAACCCTTGCTTGGCTCACTCTATGTGCTAATAGTCCAGCTTAATGTCACTTTGTACATATGTTTCTTTAAAAATATTTTATAATGTATTATTTGTTTCAGAAGTAAGAATATATGCAATGTATATGTAAGCTTTGCATCAGAATTATAAAG